GGGGGGAGGGCAGAGATTATGAACATGTACAGCGCGGATCGCTAAATGGAGCTAGCTAGTGGCGAATGGACATTGGCGCATCTGGTCCGGAGCGGGGTGTCGGTCGTCTTCCAGGGACGTGTGGGGCGCATCACGGCCACACGGCAAACACGCAACATGTCGCCGTCAATGTGGCCAGGAGCGTCTGAAGCGGAACGCGATGCAAAGATGATGCGCCATTTCCCCCCACCTTGGCCGTTTGGGTCTGAGCTACGGTGGAACTTTCGGTGCCTCCATTAAGACCGTCTGCAAGCGCAGCAAAGCCAACTCTAGGTTTGCCCGAATTGTAATCGAACACGCTGTAGACGCTCTTGAGGAATGCGGCGCCGACGATCCATTGCAACGTCGTTGTCTGATCGGATCCAACACTGAAGAATGCGCCCAAGCACGTCTCGCCCGTCCGATCCGTTGCGCCTGCCAAAAAGTCCGAAGGCGACAAGACGTAGGCTTGGTTGCCAAAGGTGACGCTTGCCGACACGTTGGTGGCACAAGGGTAGTTGTAGTAGCCCTCCGACTGCGTGCTGGGCGATGAGCCGGGAATTTGAGAGTACAAGTCGGCAATCACGCTGGACGGTCCACCAATCAGCGTGGTGCCGGTATCGATGGCAGCATTGACAGTGTTGCCAATGGACACTGTATTGTTTTGCAGCGTTATGCCTCCCAAAGTGATCAGCCAGTAGGATTCATCGATGACTTCTGACCAATTAATGTCACCTTGATACAACGACGAATTGGTGCCTCCAAGCGTGAACACGCCGCCATACTGCGTATTTTCGGGATTGCCAGAGTCGATCTCCCTTTGCAAGAAGAAGGAGAATATCTCATCTGCTTGCGAAAGCCCCACATTTTGCCACAACGGTGTCGCTTTTGCAGTCGAGAGGGCCTTGAAGCCTAGGCCTGCAATGCCATCAATCGCTTGATTCAAAAGTCCACGGGTGACTGCAGTGGCCAGTGCGAACGTCTGAGCAGTAGTGCTCTGGCCAGCAAGCTGCATGGCGTCTTGAGCCAGGTAGCCTTTCACGGCACCGGATCCGTACGTTATGCTAAAAGGGTCCGAGTCGTTTTTGAAGGTTGAGGAATCGGCAGGTTTGTAAGACGAGCGATCGGATGAATCTATCCAAATGTCTGCAGAACCCGTATCGAGAACGAGATTGACCGCTTGACCC